TCCAAATGGTTTAATTGTGTTAAAAATTGTAATCGCGTTAATCATTCAAATTCAAATTCAAATTCAAATTTTATTTGTCACGTACACAGTCATACACAGTACGATATGTAGTGAAATGCTTGGACAACTGCTCGTGACCTAAAGAGAACAAAAAAGGAAAAGGCTATGAATAAGATAGGAAATATGAAAAATTAAAAAGGGTGAATTTAACTAGGAAGGAATAAAATATAAATTAAGGTTAAAAATGAAATAACTGTACAACACAAATTAGAATGAAGGGTAAATTTAACTGGGAAGAATAAGATAAAATATATAAATTAAAGTTGAAAATAAAATAACTGTACAACAAAATACACAATACACAATATAGAACTATATAAGAATGTATGAAGAAATCTAAATATAAATAAATATATACACAATAACAGCAGCTGTACAAGTATTAACTGGAAATGAAGAATATAGTGACCAGTGTTGTGCAAAAACAAAGTCCAGAAAGTCCAGTGTGTGTGTAAGAACCATATGTGTGGGTCAGTACTGTGTGGTGGTGTGATTGAGAGACCGTATCGCCTGCGGGAAGAAGCTCCTCCTCAGTCTCTCTGTGTTGGTCTTCAGGGAGCGGAATCGCTTTCCTGACCTCAACAGAGAGAACAGTCTGTTGTTGGGATGGCTGAGGTCCTTCACGATCTTCCTGGCCTTGGTCCAGCACCGCCTGCTGTAGATTGAGTGCAGGTCAGGGAGCTCGGAGCGGATGGTGCGCTCAGCTGACCGCACAACCCTCTGTAGAGCTCGTCTGTCCTGCATGGTGCTGTTCCCGAACCAGGTTAAGATGTTTCCCGCCAGGATGCTCTCTATGGTGCACGAGTAAAAGTTCCTGAGCACCTTGGAGGGCAGTTGGAAGTCTCTCAAGCATCTGAGGTGGTAGAGACGCTGTCGGGCCTTTTTCACCACGGTGTTGATGTGACAGGACCATGACAGGTCCTGCGTGATGTGAACTCCGAGGTATTTGAAGCTGTCCACTCTCTCCACTGGGCACTCGTTGATGACGGGGGTCTGGTAGTTCCTCTCCTGCTTAGTGCTGAAGTCCACTATCAGCTCCTTTGTCTTACTGACGTTTAGAAGGAGGTTGTTCCTTTGGCACCAGTTCTCCAGATTCCTAATCTCCTTCACGTAGGCCGTCTCGTTGTTATCAGAGATCAGGCCCACCACGACGGTGTCGTCAGCAAACTTGATGATGGTGGTGGAGCTGGTAGTGGCCACACAGTCATATGTGTACAAAGAGTACAGCAGGGGGCTCAGAACACACCCCTGGGGGGCTCCAGTGCTGAGAGTGGTGGAGGCTGAGACATGTCCGCCCATCCTTACTGCCTGTGGTCTGCCAGTTAGGAAGTTGGAGATCCACTGACACATAGATGAGCTGAGTCCCAGATGCTCCAGCTTGGTGGTGAGTGTGGAGGGAATTATGGTGTTAAATGCAGAGCTGTAGTCTATGAAGAGCATTTTAACATAATCCCCCCTTCTAGTGTCCAAGTGAGTGAGTGATGTGTGGAGGAGATGAGAGATGGCATCGTCTGTGGAACGATTTGGACGGTAAGCGAACTGTAGTGGGTCCAGTGTGTCTGGTAGTGAAGAAATGATGAAGTCTCTGACCAGGCGTTCAAAGCACTTCATCACTACTGAGGTGAGGGCTACAGGGCGATAGTCATTGAGAGAAGCAGGGTGGGGTTTCTTCGGGACAGGAACAATGATGGACTCTTTGAAGCATGTGGGGATCACCGACTGAGATAAAGAGATGTTGAATATCTCAGTGAACACAGGAGCTAGCTGGTATGCGCAGTCTCTTAGGATACGACCTGGGATGCCGTCTGGTCCTGCTGTTTTCCTGGTGTTCACTCTCTTGAAGGCTCTCCTTACTTCATGCTCGGAGATGACGAGCACGTTTCCGGTGCTGGCAGTATCTTCCTGTCTGCAGCCGTTAGCGCCGCTAACACTAGCATTGTTGGAGACCTTAGCTGCAGCCTCGAAGCGAGCATAGAAAGTGTTCAGCTCGTCTGCCAGAGTCACGGCCGCGTTCGTCATACCGGTTGTTGGTGCTTTATAGTCCGTTATTGTCCTTAGTCCCCGCCACAGGCTCCTAGAGTCACTCTGTTGGAGTTGTGACTCTAGTTTCCTCCCATAGCGCTGCTTCGCCTCTTTCACCGCCCTCCGCACGTTATATGACGCGGCTTTGTACGGGTCCATGTCCCCCGTCATGAGTCCCGTGTTGTAGGCAGCGGTGCGGGATCTCAGAGCGTTGCGGATGGTTTTATCCACCCACGGCTTCTGGTTGGGAAACGTTGTGATAGTCTTTGTCTCCACGGTATCATCCGCTAGTTTCCCGATGAATCCCACAACCGCTTCCGTAAACACGTTGACGTCATCGTCGGAGCTGTTTCTGAACATGCCCCAGTCTGCGTCATCGAGTGCGTCCTGTAACGCGGCCACCGATTGATCCGTCCAGCGCGCGACCTTCCTCTGAACCGGAACTTCCTGTTTCAGCCTTTGTTTGTATTTTGGCATGAGGAAGATGGCGGCGTGATCAGATTTGCCAAACGGGGGCGGGATTGTGTCTTGTAGCCGTCCTTGACCGTAGTGTAGCAGTGGTCCAGTGTCCTTTCACCCCTGGTGGGGCAGGTGATGTGTTGATAAAAGTTCGGCGCTGCGCGTTTGAGGTTGGCGCTATTAAAGTCCCCCGTCACAATAAGCGCAGCGTCCCGGTGTTGTGTCTGGTGCTGTGTGAGTGCCTCATGCAGCTCGCATAAGGCGGTGACCGTGTCCGCTTGTGGTGGAATATAAACGGCACTTACAATGACCGATGTAAATTCCCGAGGTAGATAAAAAGGACGACACATGATGGACAGTAGTTCCAGATTTGGTGTGCAGGAGCGTGTGAGAGGAACAACGTTCGCACTGTTGCACCAGTTGTTGTTCACCATTAAACACACGCCGCCTCCCCTTGACTTCCCCGAGTCCCGTGTCCTGTCCATGCGGTGAACCGAGAAGAACTCGGCCGGGTGGATGGCGTGGTCCGGCACCGCTGGGTTCAGCCATGTCTCGGTGAAGCAGAGGAGATTGCAGTCCCGAATGTCTCTCTGGAACTTTATCCTGGCCCTGAGGTCGTCAAGCTTGTTCTCCAGTGACTGGACGTTGGCGAGCAGGATGCTAGGCAGAGGTGTGCGGTGTGCACGAGCTCTCAGCCTGTTCCTGACGCCGGCTCGCTTCCCTCTAGGCCGCCGCCGCTTCCCTTTGTTCTCCCTCGAGATCTCACTTTGATGATGACATGATGACAGCATTAACGTTGACAGCCCTAGTTTGTTGGTTTATTTTAGTTTAGTTTTGTGAGCTGGTTATTAGATGCCGCTCCAGCCAGAGAATGCCGCCCCGCTCTCTCCTTCCTGTGTGGCAAGCAGCAGGGGCACCTCGCAAACAGAGGGTGCCTTTACTCTCCGCAAAAGAAAACGGTTCGGTGCCTATGCAGTGCTCAAAATGCTTTGGCATGATGTCAGGGCAACATGGGTGCGAGCAACTTTTTTTTGCCGATGCCCATGATGCCGCCCCACCATGATACCGCCCCGGGCAACGGCTTATGTCGCCCATATCAAAAACCGCCACTGCCCCTATGCACGGGGGCCAAATATGGATTTTTGCAGATGGAAATGAATTCAGACAAGAAGTCAGAAGAAAGGCAAGGCAAAGACATTAGAAACAAGAACAAATAAAAAGCATGATTTAAAATTGATTAAAACAAGCAAATAAACTAACTAACTAATTAACAAACAAACAAACAAACAAACAAACAAACAAACAAAACAGTATATAAAATCAAAACAGATAAAATCAGAACAGTAGATAAAATCAGTAGTTAAATGTAAGTTTTGAAATTTAAGCTTAAAGTGTGGATTTGGTGCTTTATTCAAATGCAGCTGAGAACAGGTGAGTCTTCAACCTGGATTTAAATAAACTGAGTGTTTCAGCTGATCTGAGGCTTTCTGGGAGTTTGTTCCAGATATAAGGAGCATAAAAGCTGAATGCAGCTTCTCCGTGTCTGGTTCTGACTCTGGGAACTGATAAAAGACCGGATCCAGATGACCTGAGGGATCTGGATGGTTCATACTGGGTCAGGAGGTCATTGATGTATTTTGGTCCTAAACCATTCAGAGCTTTATAGGCCAGCATCAGAACTTTAAAGTCTATCCTCTGACAGACAGGCAGCCAGTGTAAGGACCTCAGAGCTGGACTGATGTGGTCCACTTTTTTGGTCTTAGTGAGGACTCGAGCAGCAGAGTTCTGAATGAGCTGTAGTTGTCTGACTGATTTTTTAGGTAGACCTGTAAAGATGCTGTTACAGTAATCAAGCCTACTAAAGATGAATGCATGGACTAGTTTTTCCAGGTCCTGTTGAGACATCAGATCTTTTATCCTTGATATATTCTTGAGGTGATAGTAAGCTGATTTTGTTATTGTCTTAATGTGTTTTTCTAAGTTTAGGTCTGCATCCATCACTACACCCAAATTTCTCGCCTGGTTTGTGGTTTTTAGATGTATAGATTGAAGTTCTCTGGTGACCTGTAATCGTTTTTCTTTGGCGCCAAAGACTATTACCTCAGTTTTGTTTTTGTTTAGCTGGAGAAAATTGTGGCACAACCAGTCATTGATTTCCTCAATGCATTTACCAAGAGCCTGTACAGGGCCTCGGTCTCCTGGTGACATTGTGATATATATTTGTGTGTCATCTGCATAGCTGTGATAGTTTATTTTGTTGTTGTTTATAATCTGTGCCAGTGGGAGCATGTAGATGTTAAACAGAAGGGGTCCCAAGATGGAACCTTGGGGAACTCCACATGTGATACTTGTCTGCTCAGAAAGACACAATTCTGATTTACATCACACCGCCCATTTTTGGGACATGTTTAATGTGTTTGTTTTTTGAAAGCTAAATGGATGCCGGTGTTTTTTCGCAGATGTATGGGCGCTACACCCAGGAGCTCGGGGTGTATGCCAAAGAGGAGGCTACTCGGCTGAAGGAAAGTGGGGAGAAGGTCAGTCAGCGAAGCCGGACACTGGAACACGACAATGGACGCTGTGCCAAGTGTAAGAGTCAAACCACACAGCCAGCATGGAATATGAAGGACAAGCAGCAAGTGTTATTATTCCTGTTTCTGAAATTAGTGCTCGTTTCGTTATTTTATAGAAAACCTTCTTACCATTTCTAACCATGTGATGGACAAATGCCTATTCACACCACAATGAACAAAATTAGTTTAAAGAAAAGAAGTGCCGTGATACAGATTTTCTAAACCCTATTAAAATTGGGACCTTTTCATCTTTCACAAAAGTGTTCACACAGTCTAAATTCCTGTAGCGGTAGAGAGCAGAGTCACCATAGCAATTTGTATATGGTAGAAATCCACACCGTGTATCTTGCCATTTGAATATTGGCATTACCACTGAATGAGGCTCAAGACTTAACTGTTCAGGTTTGCTTTTTGACCATTGAACTAAGCCTCCTGTAGTACTGAAAACATCATTGAACATGGTCATGTTTTACTGTAGTTTGGCCATTTGCACACTGACTGGATGGCGCTCAGACTGAACCAAAACCCCCACTGACAGCTCTAGTATGGAACAATTCCATTGTTATCAAATATGCATTACATGGTCATATGGGATTTTAAGTGGTAGAAAAACATAAAGGATTATTAACCAGTCTTTGGCGATGGCACAGCTCAGGGCAATCATTTCTTTTTGTTGTGAGTCCAGTTCAGAGAAAAAATACAAAGAGTACTCCATGAATTGCTCAGAATCCAAGCCTTGAGAGAAATTGTTTGAACATTAGCTTTCCGTTAAAAATGTAATACTACAATCACTTTGATGTCTCTAAACTAAACCCTGTGCCTTAGGTGTTGCTTGGGAAGCATTGATCCTACTGAACAGTTAGATAAAGAAGCTAAACAATATCTGCAGTGTCAGGCAATCATGGCAAAAGCATTCCTTGCAGCATTTCATACAAATGATCCACTGCCTTTCTTACCGTACTGTTGGTGTTGTCAGGTAGCTACAGTAACGAGATTATGTAGGACTAAATGGGATGCATTGAAGCATAAAACAAACACAAGTTGGAAAGTCTCTGATGTTCAAGTGGAATCTCCAAGGCACACATAGACTGTCAGTTTTAGTCTGAGAGTCGACAGCTGTGACAGTCCTAATCATGGTGAAGCTTTAGTGATACAGATGTTGTCTAAATCCAGTATGCCTGGATTGAGTTGGATTTCACGCCCAATTCATCTGAGTCACCTACAGATGAGTTTGAACTCAGGATAAATTTCTGTCAGTGATCATTTTTCCACTTGTCCATTCATCCATTCTCTTCCACTTATACTTGTGAAGGTCGCAGGGGGGCTGGAGCCTATCCCAGCTGTCATAGGACGAGAGGCAGTGTATACCCTGGACAGGCTGTACCCTGAGTCTGTCGCAGGCCAAACATAGACAGGCAGACTAACCATTCACACCTAGGGGCAATTAGGAATTAGCATTTATTACCAATTACTGTGGGAGGAAGCCGGAGTACTTGAAGGGAACCAACGCAAACACGGGGAGAACATGCAAAATCCATACGAAGAGCCCCTGACTAGGTGGCTCCAACTAAGAACCACGCCACGCCACGCCCCTATTCACACCAACCCTATCCGTGTCCTCCTTCAGAGCATCTATGAACCTCCTCTGTGATCTTGCTCCCGTCCTACTGCATGGCAACTCCATGTTTGTCCAATATTTCCTTTATCCTTCCTGTAAGCATGGCCCGACCATCTCAGCCTAGAGTCTCTAACCTTGTCTCCAAACTGCTCAACCTGAGCAGTCTCTCTGTTGTAGTTAATTCTAATTCTATCCATCCTGCTCACTCCCAAAGAGAATCTAAGCATCTTCAGCTTGGACTCCTGTCTTTTAGTTAGTGCTTCATCTTCACTCTTTCCACTTTTGTTCTCTCACTTATCGCCACCACATTGTTCATTGCTTTGGATGTTTAACCCAGGTATTCAAAGTCATCTACTTTCTCTTTTTCTAATGCTTAAAGCTTCACTATTCACTTGCACCCAACTCTCACTAGATCATAATGTTGTATACAAACATCTTAATCCACCTTCCTCCACTCCTCCACACTTATTGCAAAATTCTCCCTCCTGTATATGGCAGTGGACACCCACCCAGCACCTCCTCATCACTTGTGTTCTCTTCACTTCACTTCCATTGTCTCCATCTTTGTAGCCATGTGTCAGTCTATGAAACCAGTTGGTCTTCAATTCTCCTGTCTCTTTCTCTCACTGCTGATATCACAAACTCCCAACACTCACACAGACATTTATGCAAACTCAGAATATGCAGCTGTGCCCAAAAAGGTGACCAGAGCTACATTTCTCTGCAATTTTGAGAAGCAACATGTAACATAGTGGATAAATAATATAGAATCAGTGTGTGGGGTATGGAGCCTCGCAAGACCTCGCAAAACAAACTCGGGATCTCGCAAAAGTTTTGTGAAAACGTCGTAGCACTTTTGCAAATATATGATGTCTTGTAAACCGAGCAGATATTTGATGTTTACACAGCTACATTCACGCCTCAAAATATCTTGAAAGTTTATTTTGTGACCCAGAAAGAGTAATATTGCAACTAAGTAGCAGCCGCCATTGTGGGAATTCAACTTTTGCGAGATCTCGCAAAAGTTCATCGTAATTCTTTTCTCCCATGTCCCTTGCGGGGCTCCGTAGTGGGGAAAGGTTTCAGAGAGCACGCAGAGGCATAAACACATCAAAGTGATAACAGTGTGTGCAGTGTGGTTCACAATGACCCTTTACCTGAACATATTTAACTGCAGCTTTCCCCTCTAACGTGTCCTGCATCTTTGACATTGTCACAGTGTCCCCGTTTTAGTTATTTTAAAAGTTTCAAATATCATCAAGGCAACGTACCAGAGAGTGGGCAATTGGATTGTGATACAAGATGCCCTTTACTTCGGTGTGGACTACATTTAACAAATAAGTAACTTGTACAGTTAATGGACTGCTCTTCCATTTAAATGCACTAAGCCAGCATACACACACACATACACACATATTATTACCTTCAGTTCTTGATTTGATGAAAGAACAATATGTTTGCAGTGTTGGGAGTAGCTGTGATTCTGATTACCGGCAGCTGATGCAGGGCAGTTTTCGAAAAGCAAATGAAGGACCTAATAAGTTAGGTTTTGAAATAAATGTTTGACAGGGAATTCTTGGATATGCTTAAATGAAAAGGCTGAATGCCATAAAAGTCAGCCACAGCACAATTATTTGGCGTATTAAAACATCGGCATTTGTTCTACAAGCTCAAGTGTAAAAAGGAAGCAGGGAGATGAAAGCAAAGTAAGTGACTGCACACTAGGGATGGGTATCGCTTAGGTTTTATCTGATACCGGTGCCAAATCGGTACTTTTGAAACGGTGCCGGTGCTCAAACGGTGCTCAAACCGGTGCTTAAAGAATGGAGAACACAAACTTTGTCCTAAACCTCTCATGTTTAACTGTTTTCCACTTTTTCTTTGGTCATTTTAGCCTTTTTGGCCAGGGTGAAGGGAGTATCTGCCATCAAACAAGAAGACAGCCGCATGTAGCTATGATGATGTTTGCTAGTTCACCTTACATGCATTAATGTAATAACGTGGTTAGCCTACTCAACGTAAATTACACACGAACAACATTAAGCTACTCGCGCAGAGAAGAACGGCTGCTGCTGCATCATCATCCTCATCATTTCTGCTACACTGGCAGGGCTAGGGGCCAGGACTCTCCTCTTCGGGTTTTTGGGGGATGTTGCTCCGGGTCCGATAACAGGCAACCCACCCGCAGTAGATGTGCTCGGTGTGAGGTCTCGCAGCAAGCTATCAAATACGGCGCATTTCTGGGCTTTTAAAAAAAACGCTATGCGTCGCCAGGTGTTTCATCAGATTCGAGGTGTTACCTCCTTTGACAGTATCACAGTATCAGCTTAAAGCACTTGTTGCTGCTGAGTTTGCATCTTTTGCTGTGAAGTACAGCCAGACTTTTGACGGCTTCGCCTTGGACATTTTTAATCTGTAGCTCTGCTCTAAAAGAACGTACGTACCTAGCCCCGCCTACTATCCTCGGAAACGTAAAATTATTGGCTAGAATCTAAAGTGTATCACAGCTCAGGAAAAAAAAGCACCGAAATAAAGCACCGAAATGTGCGCTGCTTTTCGGTCTGGTTACTACCGTTTGTCAGAACCGGTACCCATCCCTACTGCACACAATCGTCTTTTTCCTGCAAGTACGATAAGGGTGGGAAGAAAGAAATAAAGAGAAATGGTTTTCACCAGGAATATAAACTTCTGAAAATGTCTTCTTTATTTTTTACAAAAAATGCCCCAAAACAAATTCATAATTACTGAATTTCCCAGAGGAACGCACCTGAGAAATTATTAAAGATTTATCTGATCTGCTTCTTTGTTATTGGGCATGGATCTGTTTATATTTGGGCCAAAGATAAGAAATGTGGGATAAATTACAAACTTTTGCATCTCTGGTTTACTAACTTGTAAAATGCTATAGAGTACAGAGCAGTGGTCTTTTGGGCTAACAACATGTTTATTGCTGTTCAATATTTCAAAAGCTATTGTGATGAAACACAGCTGTTATTGGAAAATGTAGAATAAAGTGACCCGTACTAATCTCTGGGTGCTGTAGTCCTAATGTATTATGCTGTGTTCTTGATATCCCATTAGTCGGCCCATTTCGCTGGCTGAGGTTCCTGATCTCATTGATCGGGGAGGACTGGATCTTCTTCTTCCTGTTGGGGATCCTCATGGGCCTAGCCAGCTGGGCAATGGAACTGGGCATCAACATGCTCCTAAAAGGTGACAGAGAGACTGGGTTGGTTTTGTTTGTTTGTTTTTAAAAATGCAGCATCACTACACACTAACATAATAACACATTTTGGGAAGGAAGGAGGTAAGTAATATCCAGAGATGGGCAGTAACGCGTTATTTGTAATGCGTTACTGTAATCCAATTACTTTTTTCAAGTAACGAGTAAAGTAAGGGATTACTATTGCAAAAACGGTAATTAGATTACCGTTACTTTCCCATAGGAACGCTGCGTTACTGCGTTACTGCGTTACTAAAACCGTGATTTTTTGCGAGAATGTCTCACGACAGTGACGTAAGCGAGTGTGACATTAGTGACAACAGCTGTGTGCAGATCAACAATGGATCACATATCGAGTGCAGGAGAGAGTATGAGCGTGCAGCGTTTAAAGCGTGCAAGTACTGACCTTACTTTGAGTTTGATTCCATAAAAAGTGACAAAAAAATTAGTGTCTGTTGTGCGTGGGAAGAAAACTTCTTTTTACAGCGAAAAAACCCTAAACTTCCAACAAGCACCGAGTAGCTACGACGTAATGGGAAACTCACAGAGAAACTCGCGGATTCTTCCACTGACCGCGGCACACCTGCACCAGGGTAAACCTCCGCCTGCCCCACTCCTGCTTTACAGGTGAAAATAGAGCAACAGGACCGCTGAGTCTTTGACTTTATTTATTTTCTGCTGTGTTTTACTTGCATCTATTTGAAAGACTGAGTGTAAACGCAAAATTAAAAAAAATTATGTGCTGGAATGTGCAGAAAATAGGTTTAAATGTTAAACAAATTTCTTCCAGTCAGAGAATGTTGCATATAATTAAATTTTTGCTTGATGCATAAAGTTAAAAGATTAAAACTGATAAAACAAGTTTTAAAAAGAGACTTTTCCATTTGATTACATTTTGTATGATGGATTATGTAGAAAAAGTAGAATTGGGCTGAAAGATCTATCGCTTTATCACCTCTTCAGGTTGTAAATCGTGTTTTTAAAAAGTAACTAAGTAACTAAGTAATGAATTACTTTTAAAAATAATCAGTAAAGTAATGGGATTAGTTTTGGGGGGAAGTAATCAGTAATTAGTTACTGATTACTTTTTTCAAGTAACTTGACCAACACTGGTAATATCTAACAACTACAGGAAACTGATGGTGAGAGGAAAAGATGAGTTGATAGGATGGAGGTAGTGGTGAAGGGTGAGGTCAAAGGATGGAAAAGGGCTGAATTTATTTGAAGTCTTTCACATTCTAGTTCACATCAAATAGACATGTATCACATGTATGCAAATGTATACAAATCTATTCAGAATTTTAAAATCGGACAGTGAAAACACAAAATAAATTAAGAAAAATATACAATGGAATTAGACACTGGAGCAAACCATTAGATGTGGCACATATTGGAAAGGTTTTAGATTTACTTCTTAGTGATGGAGACCAATCTTAAACCAAGTTGACATAAAAAAAAATTTGGAATTTGACAAATGCCTGGCAGGAAACTTTGTGTTCAAGTAGATGCATTGGGAAAAAAGCTCTGTGATAGGGCAAAGCCAGACTGGGTAAGCATTTGAGAGAAACTAGAAACCACAAATAAATGGTAAAAAGCTTTGTTCTTATATAGCTTTAGCACTCATAGCACCTTAAACAACATGTTTCACACACGCTTCTTTTCCTACACGTAAGTTCTTTCTATCTATGTGTAACACTCACACTCAGACAAATGCATCAAAGGAGCAATTTGGGGTTCAGTATCACATTCCTCTAGTATTACAATTCCTTACCATCCAATGCCATGGCAGAGCAGCTTGACTCCACCTCCAGTGTACCTGGCCTGGCCTTCAATCTGGTTTCCTGCACGCATAATGTAATGACCTTCGTTTTCCCCATCACTTCAGCCAAATCTCCTCTCAAGTTTTTTGACATATACACATATGGTAAGACATATGATGGTCTTACCAAAAATAAATTATTTATTCTCAATGATCCCAACTAAACCGCCACAAGATTGGTTCAGATCTCTAGATTCATGTATGTCCAAATTCCTTTGGGAAAATAAACCCCCACGTATAAGCTTAAAAACACTACAAAAGACCAAGGATAAAGGAGGACTAGAACTGCCTAACTTTCAGCACTACTTCTTAGCCAACAGGCTTCAGTTTATCTCAGGATGGCTAAAACACACCCTCTTAGATGAACCTTGGCTAGATGTAGAACAAGCACTCTGCAATAATCTAGAGATCTCAGACCTACCATTTATCAGCTCAAACATCCAACGACATGAATGCTTTAAAAGCATCAACATCAGCTCTTCTCTGACAGCATGGTGGGAGTTTCTAAAATTGACGGCGTCTTCATTAATCCCATGCAAACGTACACCTGTCTGGAACAACCCTGACATATTACAAAACAATAATATGATAAACTTTTCAGATTGGAGTGATAAAGGAATCCAATATTTAGAACATATACTAGAAGGAACAGAATTTATTTCATTTGATGGACTAGTTACACAATATGGGCTCAACAAGAAAAGATTTTTAGAATATCAACAAATTAAATCCATAGTAAAAAAGAAATTTAAACCGGGTCAAGTTGAACTACAAACACCTCCAAGTGTGGTTCAATTTCTTACTCTTAAACCCCCCAAATTACTATCCAAAATATACAGAATGCTTTCTAAAACAGATGAATCAATATCACTTCCTATTGCAAAATGGGAAGCGGATTTATCAGTTAACTTAGACCTAAACTTCTGGTCTCAGATTTGCTTAAAAACCTTTCATCTAATTAGAAATCCCAGTCTTCAATTAATTCAATACAAAATATTACATAGAGTGCACTATACAGGTCATCGGATGTTCAAGATGGGCTTTACGTCTACCAACAACTGCTCACACTGCCAAACCAATTCACCGGACAATTATATCCACGCTCTTTGGTTCTGTCCACCAGTTCAGAAGTTTTGGCGGGAGATATGTGAAGACTTATCGAAGTGTCTGAAATGTAACATTCCAACTTCCCCCTTAGTGTGTTTGTTGGGCAGCTTAGATAATGTCACTTCAGAAAAGAATATCGCCCATATGGTTTTCACTGCCCTATGCATAGCCAAGAAAACAGTCCTCATGAACTGGAAAAATAAAAATAATCTTAATTCTAACCAATATAGAAATTATCTATTAGATTACATTAGTCTTGATACAGCCTCTGCCACCACATCAGATCAATTGCTCTGGGCTCCTTTGATTAGCTCCATCACCTAGTGGGGGGTCATAGTTTGGTCCCGCCTTCACTGTTGTGATTGTGTGGGGGTAGGGACAGGCTTAGGGCGTCGGGGGGTTCCCCGGAGGCATCTTCCTTGGGGGGCTCAACCCGGGGTAGCGGTCATGTCCGGTTAGGGGCTCTGTTGGTGACTGTTTCCTCGCGGCTGCGTGCAGCGGGGCTAGGGGAGGGTCTGTGCTGATGGACGTGGGTTACTGACCTGGTAGTCTGGCTGCCCCTGGGTGGGTCCGGGATGGGCGTGAGGTTCTGGGGGCGCTCCGTCTCTGGGCTGGGACCCGGACCGGGCCTCGGGGGCTTGGGTCCTGGTTGGTGTGTTGCCGGGGTTGTGGGCGGGTGGGCGCATGGGGGCCCAGCCCTGGAGCAGGGTGCCGCCGGTGCGTCGAGCCACCTGGGGGGCTCTTCAACTGGTGGGGGAGATTGTCACATCTTGCAGGAGCTTTCCTCTCCTCAGGAGCTGCCTCTGCAGGAGGGGGAGATACAGGAGAGGTGGAGGAAGATCTCAGCCTGGGTGTTTATTGTCTTATGTAGTCTGGAAGATGAGTGGATGGTGGGGTGGGTGCAGTTTTCTCTGTGGTGGGGTTGGGTGGACTGTCCCGGGCTCTGTGGGGCCGGGCGGCGATGCTGCACTGGGCCCGGTCTGGATGGGCCTGGGCCCCTTTCCCTGGCGGGTCGCGGAGTATGGGGGTGCCTACTGGGGTCAGCGGGGGAGCTGGCCCCAGGGAGGGGTCACTTGCCCCTCCCTTCCTTCCCTCCCCATCTCCAGCTGCCTCCCTCTTCCCGCTCCACCACAACCACCCACACATGCAGGGCCTTGGAGTAGGGGTATGTCACCAGGGTGCAGAGGAGGCTACCCCCCCCCCCCCCCCTCTGTCCCCTTCTGGCTGCCTCTGCCTCAATTTTATCCCACAACTTAGACATTCACATTACTCACACTCTCATTACACATACATATAGGATCTTGGGGGTGGGCACGATACACGGAGTCCAAAGTACCATCAGGGTGTACACCCCACCCCTGGCATCGTTGCCCACCTCTCAATTTTAAATACACGTAGACATTGAGGGCTAGCAGGAGGGACCATGCGCTTACCTGCTGCTCTCTGGCAGGTAGCTCCATGCCCTCCTGGGTTTTAAATGCACCTTAGAACACACATGCATCAACATTACAATGAGCGGGTGGAGGGAGGTTCGGAGTCTTCTCTCACCCCTGTTCTCTGCGACCTGCTGGAGCAGGGGGGCTAGGACTAGGAGGAGGAGTTGGCCGTCCGACTGCGGTCTGGAGTGTGGAGCCTTCCTGCTGCTGCGGAGTCGGGGCGGTCTGCCTCCCCCCACCGCAGGGAAAAGGGAAACACCACCTGGGTCTGGGTGCAGTTCCCCCCTCCAGGGGCGGGGGCACCTAGACCCGGTTTGTAGAGTACGCTTGGGGAGTGTGATCGTGTGTACAACGTCTCTTTATGTCTGTCTCCACGTTGGTTGAGTGTGGAGTAAGTGCATATGAGAGCATGAGGGTGGGAATGGATGTTTGTGTCTGTGTGTGCCTGTATGTCTGTGTCTATATGTCAGGTTGGGTGTCAGGCGCCACCTCTCTGGGGACATCTCAGGCCCTCCAAGGTTTGGAGGCCTATCTCCCCCTACCACCACTTCCCCTGCCAGTGGCGGACCCCCTCAGACATCGGTGCGTTGGTGGTTCTTTGTGTCCGGGGATGGGCGTCCAGCGTCCTGGGGCTCGCTCGGGCCACTTCGGAGGTGGGGTGCCCCCGGCCTCTCGGCCTGGGGCTTGGTCACTCAGGCGCAGCTGGCTGCCGGCGGAGCTCACGGGCGCGTCACTGCAACTCCCCCTGGCTTCTGCTCCGCGGCTGCTGAGTGAGCCCTCATCTGGGACTCTCCTCAGCTCTTTCCGGGACAGTGGCGCAGCTGCCCCTCTGTTGGTCTTCCTTGGTCTCTTGTGTTCTGGGGGCCTCTGGATGTCTGGAGTTTTGATCTCCTCCACACCTGCTTCACGCCCTGGAGGACGGGGCTGTGGCCCCCCCACACCCTCTAGCAGATTATTACATGAAGGAACCTTTTAAAAAAAACAAAAAACAAGCGCGTCCATGCTCACAGGTGTACACACGGGTGATCACACCCACAAACTACACCCTTTTTGGCTCCTACCTCAAAGCACACTGTGTTCTGTTGATCTTATGTGCTGCACAATAATGTTTAACATTTAGTATTTACTGTCATGTTCCCATATATCATTGTGATGTTGTTTATTCTATTACTCTTGTTCTCTTCTGCTTGCTTTCTTTTTTCTTTCTCAGCAGGTGATCCAGGTGATTGATATATGCATTTTTTTTTCTCTGCCCGTTCTGTTGGTTTTTGTCTTTTGCCCTTCTCCCCCGTCCCTCTTCTCAGCTGTTTCTCTTTCCCTCTTTCTTTCTCCCCTTCTTTCCCCCAGTCAAGTCTGTCCCGTATTCAGTAAGTGAAAATAAAATAAACAATAAAAGGTGAATCAAATGGACCATTACGGCAAGGCTGGGATGGTCAGTTTGGTAAAGTAAATCCGTTGGGCATCTTTCTTTGTCTTTAGACAACAATTCTGATGGCAAAAGAGCCAAACGGGACAGGCCAAAAAAAAAAAAAAAAAAAAAAGACATATACATTTCTGCATTTCCTTTTTTCTCTCTGTACATCAGAGCACACATTGGAGGGGCATAGTCGATCAAAATGCAGAAACTCAGCAGTCCAAAGGGGGGCTTTGTCTGAGCCCCCCAATTTTGTTGGGCAGATGTATGTTATGATACGTGGGGCGATTGTGGCTCAAGAGTTGGGTGTTCGTCTTGTAATCAGAAGGTTGCCGGTTCGGACAGTCTTGGTCGTTGTGTCCTTGGGCAAGACACTTCAGCTACCGCCTACTGGTGTTGGCCAGAGGGGCCGATGGCGCGATATGGCAGCCTCGCCTCTGTCAGTCTGCCCCAGGGCAGCTGTGGCTACAGCTGTGGCTACCAGTGTGTGAATGGGAGAGTGAATGAATAGTGGAATTGTAAAGTGCTTTGAGGTTTCTTGAAAAGTGCTACATAAATGCAATCCATTATTATTATACCTAGACTACCCAACCATACAAAATCTATGTCTGACATACATGTAGATGCAGTTCTACATAAATATGTAAACAAAGGAGGCAAAAGCGAGGCTGCAGGGCAGGCCCACTAGCACAGCTAAAGAAAAAAAACACTGTTTCCTGTCCACATTAGATTCATAGCCAACAAAATTGACTGAAATACAGACTATAGTTCGGCTGTAAAATCTAGTATGGTAATCTATATTAAGTAAACTGAACTCAATTTTTCTCACGGTGTTATTAGAACTCAGTTTAAGAAAGTTACCAGTGTGTTTTATTCAAAAAAGCAAATCAAGCTCAGTAACTCTTTGTTGTGTGTTAAAGGTTCTCCAAGGGATAAAAACTAGAAGGTACAGTAGACAGGAATGAAAGAGGTATTTAACAGTGTAAAAAGGGAAAAAAAAGTTTGGTGTAAAGAAGTAAGTAAGTAATGAGAGCAAAGGGGACCAGGGAGGAGGAAAAATAAGTAAGCAAACTGTGCAAACCAGAAAGTTGAAATTAGACACCTGAACCTTTGAAATTCATCAGAAATGTCAAATCTCACAGGTTGAGAAATTCAAACACATTTCTCCGGCTGCGTGTTTTATACTTTCAGAAAGGGAAACTAACCTCGACCTGCCAGTTCCTGTTTTGTTGTATAGGTCTGTAACTGCACTGTAAATCTGTGAGGATGGTTTTACACATTGGGCCTGGTCTGTGTGGTTTGTGTGTCCACAGGACAGAAGTGGGTATATGGCAGACTGGACAGTAATGGGTTCCTGCAGTACCTGGGCTGGGTCGGCTATTCTGTTGCTCTCATCGTGTTTTCTGCCGGCTTCACCCAGATCGTCTCCCCACAGGCTGCTGGTATGTAAACAGATGTGGCAAAAGTACACACTTTCTTTACTTATGCAGAAGCACAGACACCAAAATGTAAAAAAAAAATACTCAACTACTGAAAAAAGTTCATTTCTCAAGTAAAAGTGAAAGAGTACTTGATCTCAAATGTACTCAAAGGAAAAAAGTAAAAGTATCTCTTTGAAGGATAATTCTACTAACCATTTTTGTACAAGGTAACTGAACCTTGTGCTATATTAATATACTGATGAAACAATACTACTATATAAGAATACAAATACTATTCAAAGCTAAATTCTACTTCCATTGACTGTGGTTAGTTTGATATGTAAGAAATAAAAAAATAATTTTCAGTTGGCCACATGGTGGCGGGTAACTTTGCCTCCACACCTGCACAACAAAATAAGAAAATTCAGTGGTTAAAGTGGGATTCAACAGGTGCAGGCACACTGGGATCTATGTAGTGTCTCGGCATATGAAAAGGAATCACAATTGTCAATAATTTCTAATGTAAGCTTCAGATTGTATTAGTGTACAGCTGAACTGCTGCTTTTTGTGGATGTACACAATTGAATTCAACAGGATCTTGGCTCATGTCCTTCCCCTACACTGACACTGTACTGCTTCCACTATTTTTATACAAGACATATGGTTTGGTATAAAGTTGGATTTCAGTGACTCTAAGCATCATCACCTTAAATTCAAATTCATCTCTGCTATACTTGATGTAACCTAAATCTAGCTAAAAGACTAGCTAGCAACTCATTGTGCGACAAACTGCACACATACATTTTTTATTCAAGTAAAAATCTCATTGAGATTCATTTTCAAGAGACACCTGGCATCATGTGTGATGTCTAGTACTTTTTCCATTAAAATAACATCTATAAATCTTGTCCATTGTTGTTCATTGTAATGTAAACAATGATCTTTTGGGGTCTAACAGAAAGTTTTGACAATCAGCCAGCTGTAAGAGTCCGTTGTTGTCCCCTACAGGTTCAGGGATTTCGGAAATGAAGACCATTCTACGAGGAGTATTACTGAAAGAATATCTCACCTTCAGGACCTTCGTGGCTAAAGTCATCAGTCTCGCTTTTGCCTTGGGTAGTGGTATGCCCCTTGGCAAAGAGGTAAAATAGATGCATACACACAAATCAGCTGCACACTCTTTAAATGTCTTCATGTACTGTTGTATGTTGCTGTGGGTAGGCGTCCATTTTCTGTGTCTGTCTGCAGTCACCATCCAAACCATCAAATTGGGAATAATTACTCAGTAGTTTGAAGGATCTAACATTCTAAGAGCTACATGTCTTTATCAGTGAGTTTTTGAGGGGCAAAATCCCATTTATTTATGATTTTCAACAAAATTGAAGCTGGCCCCAGGGAGGGGTCACTTGCCCCTCCCTTCCTTCCCTCCCCATCTCCAGCTGCCTCCCTCTTCCCGCTCCACGACAATCACCCACACATGCAGGGCCTTGGAGTAAAGGTGTGTCACCACGGTGCAGGGGAGGCATCCCCCCCCCCCCCCCCCGTCCCCTTCTAGCTGCCTCTGCCTCAATTTTATCTCACAACTTAGACATTCACATTACTCACACTCTCATTACACATACATATAGGATCTTGGGGGTGGGCACGATACACGGAGTCCAAATTACCATCAGGGTGTACACCCCACCCCTGGCGTCGTTGCCCACCTCTCAAGGTTAAATACACGTAGACATTGAGGGCTAGCAGGAGGGACCATGCGCTTACCTGCTGCTCTCTGGCAGGTAGCTCCATGCCCTCCTGGGTTTTAAATGCACCTTAGAACACACATGCATCAACACTACAATGAGCGGGTGGAGGGAGGTTTGGAGTCTTCTCTCACCCCCATTCTCTGCGACCTGCTGGAGCGGGGGGGCTAGGAGGAGGAGTTGGCCGTCCGACTGCAGTCTGGAGTGTGGGGCCTCCCTGCTGCTGCGGAGTCAGGGCGGTCTGCCTCCCCCCACCGCAGGGAAAAGGGTAACACCACCTGGGTCTGGGTGCAGTTCCCCCCTCCAGGGGCAAGGGTACCTAGACCCGGTTCGTAGAGTACGCTTGGGGAGTGTGATCGTGTGTACAGCGTCTCTTTATGTCTGTCTCCACGTTGGTTGAGTGTGGAGTAAGTGCATATGAGAGCATGAGGGTGGGAATGGATGTTTCTCTCTGTGTGTGCCTGTATGTCTGTGTCTATATGTCAGGTTGGGTATCATACGTCACCTCTCTGGGGACATCTCAGGCCCTCCAAGGTTTGGAGGCCTATCTCCACCCACCACCACTTCCCCTGCCAGTGGCAGACGCCCTCAGACATCGGTGCGTTGGTGGTTCTTTGTGTCTGGGGGTGGGCGTCCGGGTACACACCGGCTCACTCCTTGGTGGCTGCTTATCGGGGCCTGGAGCCTGGGGCTCGCTCGGGCCACTTCGGAGGTGGGGTGCCCCCGGCCTCTCGGCCTGGGGCTCGGTCACTCAGGCACGGCTGGCTGCCGGCGGAGCTCACGGGCGCGTCACTGCAACTCCCCCTGGCTTCTGCTCCGCGGCTGCTGAGTGAGCCCTCATCTGGGACTCTCCTCAGCTCTTTCTGGGACAGTGGCGCGGCTGCCCCTCTGTTGGTCTTCCTTGGTCTCTTGTGTTCTGGGGGCCTCTGGATGTCTGGAGTTTTGATCTCCTCCATACCTGCTTCATGCCCTGGAGGACGGGGCTGTGGCCCCTCCACACCCTCTAGCAGATCATTACATGAAGGAACCTTTTAAAAACAAGTGCGTCCATGCTCACAGGTGTACACACGGGTGATCACACCCACAAACTACACCCTTTTTGGCTCCTACCTCAAAGCACACTGTGTTCTGTTGATCTTATGTGCTGCACAATAATGTTTAATATTTAGTATTTACTGTCATATTCCCATAGATCATCGTGATGTTGTTCATTGTATTGCTCTCGTTTTCTTCTGCTTGTTTTCTTTTTCTTTCTCAACAGGTGATCCAGGTGATTGATAGATGGATTTTTTTTGTCTGCTTATTTAGTTTTTGTTTTTTGCCCTTTATCCCCGTCCCTCTTCCCCGCTGTTTTTCCCCCTCTTCCTTTCTCCCTTTTCTTTTCCTCATTCAAGTCTGTCCCGTATCTAGCAAGTGAAAAAAAAAATTTATAAAATAAACCATAAAAGGTGAATCAAATGGACCATTACGGCAAGGCTGGGATGGTCAATTTGGTAAAGTAAATCCATTGGGCATCTTTCTTCACCTTTAGACAATAATTCTGATGCAAAAGATCCAAACGGGACAGGCAAAAAGAAAAAAAAATTGACGTTTTGATCCACATTCTACTGTTGCTGACTTGCACGTTTTCAGTGAGTCACAGCATTAAGACACCACCACGAAGAGACAGCCCTTTTAATATGGAATGACAGCTTTAAGATATCCAAATAAAGAGTAAAGATCCCTCAGAAGACAGGCTTACACTCGGACCACATCTGGTCCTCAGAAACCCACACAGAGTAAATCGAAGCAAAGTGCTGGAACACCATTGTGCTTATATGAAATTTAAATTTAAATTAGATTTTCACCTGAGATCACTTCTCATATTCTGCAACTGGCATAAAAACCGCAACATGTGTATGTGTAACTGTTGACAGACCGTCAAACAGCAGCTAGAGAACCTGTTTTATGCCTTTATTTTTTCCTTCTGTCAGGCTCCCTTTGTACACATCGCCAGCTTGTGTGGCGCTCTCCTCTGCAAGTTGCCTGTGTTTCGAGGAATCTATGAGGTGAGTCTTACATCTTTTTCTTTCTCATGTTTTATTGAATTCATCCACTGTTGATTTTATTTTTTTTTAATGCTTTGCAAATGTCCTACACATATTTTTGCCTATAAAATAACAACAGTCATATTTCTATTCAGGCACTAGTGAACTGTCTCAGAGATGTACAATTATGGTTGGAGAGAAACTTATGGAGAGAAATTATTTTATTTGGGCATCCCAACCCATTTGACGGGTATGACAGTGCTTGGTGTGACTTTTGACTGTGCTTTAAAATTTAATAAACAGATCAGCTCTGTTGTTAAGACAAGTTTCTTTCAACTGAGTCTCCTCAGCAGGGTGAAGGCCTGCCTCCAACCACACGGCTTAGAGACAGTAATTCAGACTTTCATTTGCTCTCATCTCGATGATTGTAATTCTTTACATGCTGGCTCTGCTCAATCTTTACCTCATCACCTCCAAGTCGATCAAAATGCAGAAGCTCGCTTTTTCACGGGAAATAAGCAGTGTGATCATATTGCAGCTATGCTGGCCTCCGTAGACTGGCTTTAGTGACTGTTTCTATTTAAAGAATACTTTGTGTAACCTTTTGTTGTTTAAAAACATGGTATGTAAATATACTTTGACTTGACTTGATTCATCGGTCAGTGTATACAGTGGCTAAATACAAAAGCATTTCATATCTATTTCATACTGTGCGCACAATATCAAAGAATACAAGCAGAAGTGTAGCTTCCAAAGTCGTGATGAATTTCTGATGATGATTGAGGAAACATAGTCTGTGTATAAGCTGAAAACTGATTCAGAAGCAATCTATGGTTTGGTGAAGATTTTAGCTATAATTTGCATGCTCTTTGAAGAATAAATGAATCTACCAGTGTTGATCAGCTCCAATGCCTTCTCTGGAACACCACGAGATTCTGACAAATTTAGTAAAACCACAATGACAAAACTGACTAAACACAGGAGAAAACACAAACACAGACTAGACCTGAGAGAAATAGGAGGACAAGAAAAAGTTGATAACTAACAATATCAAAATGAAAACATAAACTAGGCAAAAGTATATCCAGACTAAAAACAAGAGCAATTTCAAAATAGCTGGGAGAAAAGCCAGGATCATGACAAACAGATGTGCCAAAAAAGCTTCATTGTGTGGGGGTAAGAAAGTATAACATACTATGGCTATAAACTTGTGTGCATCAGTTTCATGTTTTATACTTGGACTATGTTACACTCCATTGTCCCTTTTAAATAAAGAATTATTATTAGTATTATCATATTTTACAATTTTATTTTTCGAACCTTTTTACCTTCAAAGCGAAAGAAGATACAATTTCATACAGCAGAGAATTACCGCTATTCATAGTAAACACTTAAAATGGTCTTCCACCTTCTTACGGTTACATTGTAATTGTAGCTAATTTAATGTAGTCTAATCTATCCAATATTGCCTAAATGGTGAATAGGTTATTTATTTCTGTATTCCACATCTATTTATTCTAAAGCTGAAATGTAATCACTTCCGTGTGATTTCAGAATGAGTCCAGGTACAGAGAGATGCTAGCAGCAGCCTGTGCTGTGGGAGTAGGCTGCGTTCTTGCTGCGCCCGTAGGAGGTGAGGTTCATCAAATGTGACGTGGTAACACTCCGAAGTAAGCTAAATCTGCAAACACTGTTAAGGCTTTAAGTTGAGCAGTGTAATATATAACATGTAATATGATAAGCTTTATGTTGCTGAAATCTGTGGAGCAGTTTCAGTAATGTTTCACAAGCTATCTTGTAATTGAGGGTTTCTTTTTTCACGCCTATGTATCAGTGCCAATTTCTTCAAGTTCAAGATTTTTTTGAGCCTCTCTTGTTAAGTCATGTATATATACAGCTCGCCATGAGCAAATCTATCCAAGATGAGCTGGAAGTAAATGACACTGAGATCTGAGTGAAGATGCTGGCTAGCAAATTCAACAGACAAAAGAAAATATTGTTCTTCAGCACAAGTGCAAGACTGGTTTTTGAAAAGTCAGTGTAAGTTTCAGAATATTTTAAAAGTCAGTTCCAATGCTCATGCCTTGCGTTGTTTGTGTGTTTCAGGTGTGCTCTTCAGTATTGAAGTAACATTCACATTCTTTGCTGTGAGGAGCTATTGGAGAGGGTTTTTTTCCGTCACCATCGCTGCCTTCTTTTTCAGGGTATTGGCTGTGTGGTACAAAGACGAAGGTATGACTGTGTGGCCAGATGTTTTTACCAGGTGTTTTAAGGAATTCACAATGTCACACCTTTTAATACTAAAAACAGCATTGATCATTAAATGAAACCTTACTGCTTTCATAGATACAACAGCGCTAATTTATGTTGAATGAAATTGCAGGCTGTTTGCAGTTATGAATTCAGGAAAATGTGGACTCAAAGCTTGTTGGGACTTATGAATTCCTAATTTGACAGATGTAGTCTCTTTAAAAATGTCAATTTAAAAAGTAAATCACCAGACCCTGAACACAGAACGCATAAACAAATGAAGATGTGTCTCCACGTTACTAATACATGTAGCTGTGATTTGTATATTGATGGTATATTTAAGAGACAAGTCAAAGTAAACGCAGCAAAATGAATCACAGTGGAGCTGCAAGTTTCAGTTTCTAGTGTTCTTCCCCCATTATTTGTGTAGTATGATCAAACATGGCTAGGTTTTGAGGTTTGCTCAGTACTTTCTCAATAAACTTCAGCAGGATCATTTTTTATGCATTCACCTAACAAATGATAGATTACCTAATTTGTTTTTGGGACAAGACATACACCACATGCCTGTTGCATCAGAAAGAGCTGTTCACAATGCTCAGCCTGAAACTAGCTTTACTCTCCATTTTCCATCAGTTATTCAACATCTGTAATACCTAATGTTATTGCTAAAGTTTGGATACTTGCACCTCGAAGTTTTGATGACTATTCAGTGATACACTAGCTTGTCCTCTTGGTTTTGCTTTCTCTTGCACCAGAGACCGTCACAGCCCTTTTTAGAACCCATTTCCAGGTAGACTTTCCCTTTGACCTCAAGGAGATGCCTGCCTTCGCTTTGCTTGGGTAAGTTTCCATCTCTAAACTTGAAATGCAAAAATTTGCTTTAAAAATAGTAAAATTGAAAAATACCCACTAGTTCCAACTCATCAGCTAAGCATCAGGAAAAAGATGTGCATATGAAATACTTTTTGTTGACTGAGGTTTTTAGCAGTCATTTAAAAGCCATTTGTTCTGAAAGATATTCCAACATATTATGATTGCCGCATATATTCTGATATTATTAAGGAGCACTACTTAAGTAGGTTTGATTCAGTTTTATTTATGTATTCACAACAACAGTCACCTCAAAGTGCTTTATATTATGAGGTAGAGACCCTACATTAACAGAGAGAAAACCCCAGCAATCAGATGACCTGCTGCGAGCAAGTGCTTGGCAAGAGTGGGAAGAAAAAACGTCCTTTTAACAGGAAGAAACCTTCTGAAGAACAAGTCTCAGAGAGGGCAGCCATTTCCTGCTGACTCTTTGGGGGTGAGGGGAGAGCGTAAAGTGATGTTGAAGTGACATCTTTTATAAGTAAATTTGGACTGAAGGCTTTGTTTTGTAATGCCAGGCTTTGACCTTTTTTCATGTCTATTATACTTTATGTCACAGTTTGGCATGGCAAACCGTGGGGGGTGTGGGGAAGGAGGACCCAGGCGCGGTGCTCTATGTACAAGCAGTGCGTTTATTTACAGTGATGGAACTGATACACAACAATAACACATCCCCGTGTGCTCCCGACTTCCACTCCGTGTCTTCTCCCAGTGTTTGTGCTCATGTGTCTGCTCCCTCGTGCCAGTGCACTCTGTGACTGCTGCCCTCTCATCCAGCAATCCGTCCTGGGAAAATAGAGGCAGTAGTTAGCACCCTCAGTTCACTTGGCAAGCTCACACTCACAAACAGACCAGCTGAAGAACTGACGGGAAGTCTCACGAAATGATCCCGTGTCGGTGGGAGCTCCAAGACTCTCTTAAATAGCTCCCCCGACGAGGCCTGATCAGCAGCAGGTGTGTGGCTTCGGGTATGGCCAGTCCGCCAGCAGGGCCACACCCACCAGGCCTGAAGGCGCCCGCAGAAACACATACACACACATACAAGCAGGGATAACGAGGGACGGCAATACAAAATATATATTATAATATTAGTCCATAACTGCTCAGGGATCCTGGGTCGCTCAGACCCAGGATCCCTGACACTTTATATTTATACGTTTAGTGTGACATCAGTAAGACCTCAGTATACGGGCTATTTATAGTCCAAATGTGGTTCCTGTGGATCTTTTCAACTCAAAACTAAGACTAATTTTAGACGTTTAATATTCCTGCATGCATAGGCTCTGTAGTCACATGTTTTCAGAGGCATGTTTTCTGTAGGGAAACAGTTATGTGTTGAATGCAGAGTGATCAGCATACAGTGATACAGCATACAGGGAGGGGCTACTTGCCATGTCCAATGTCTCCACCGCAGGGAAAAGGTGTTACGGTCATTGGGGGGACTCAAACGCAGGACTACTTGCTTAAAGGAAGAACAGAGGGTTTTATTCACAAACACCAGGTGAAGTGTGTGACAGTGACTAAGTGCTATATACAAGCGTGCAGGGATTAGGGCTCCAGGGAATCCACAGTGAAAAGCAGGGGATCACTATCACTCCTCTTCAGTCTCTCTTGGCGTCTCACCAGTCATCCATTCTTCTCTCGCACCAGAAACTCTGGACTGTGACAAAAGGGTAACATCTCCTGGGTCTAGGTGTGGATTCCCCTTCTAGGGGCGAGGGTACCTTGTATAGAGGCTGTTTGTGGAGTGTGATTGTGTGACAATGTCCATTTGTCTTTACGTTGGGTGAGTGCTGAGTAATTGTATATGTGTGCATGCAAGTTTGTGTCTGTGTCTATATGTCAGGTCGGGTCTTAGACTCCGCCCCTCTGGCAACACCTCAGACTCTCCAAGGTATGGGGGCACACTCCCGGCCTGGCGCCCGTGGCTCGGTCAGGCTCCAACTGGGGGTGGGGGGCTCAGTCCACTCTGGCACAGCTGGCTGCCGGTGGATCCCGCGGGCAGGCCACTGCAACCCCCTCTGGCCTCTGCTCCGTGGCTGCTGAGTGACCCCTCGTCTGAGGCTCTCCTAAGCTCTTCCCAGGAGGCTGGCACAGATGTCCCTCCTCAGCTCCTCCTTGGGCTCCCACACTCGGGGGCCTCTGGATATCTGGGGCCTGGATCTCCTCCATGCCTGTTTCATGCCCTGGGGGATAGGGCTATGGCTCCCCACTAGCACATCGTTACTTGGAGAAACTTTTTGAATACAACCGTGCTGATCCACACAGGTGTTCACAGACACAAACTACATCTTTCTTGGCTGCTACCTCACAGCACACTGTGAGCTGTCCGTCTTGACTGCTGCACAAAAAACTTTGAAAATTCAGTATTTACTGTTATTTACGCTTAGCTAGGTTAAGTGCTAAGTGGGTTGCAGTAGTGTTGTGTTTAATATGTTGCTCTCTTTTTGTTTGTTTCTCTTTTTTCATTTTTTTTCTCTCAACCGGTGATCCGGGTGATTTTTTTAAAGTGTCCTCTCTCACTGTCCCTCTTCCCCTCTGTTTTTTCCTTAGCCTCCCTCTCTTTCTCTCTCCCTGTCCTATTCCCCGGTCATGTCTGTCCCATCTGTAATAACTTAATAAAATACAATAAAATAAAATAATAATAACAAATGTTGAAATGGACCAATACAGCAAGGCTGTGATGATCCACTTGGTAAAGTAAATCCGTTTGGTATCTTTCTTGGCCTTCACACAAATATTCTGACAGCTAAAGAAACAAACAGGGCAGGAAAGAAAAAGGAAGGAAGAAAGTGTGCAGCTGCGTGGTGGATTAGGAGCAGAAACATCCCCAGCTTCTTACAGCCAGTTTACAAATGTGCACATCAACAAAGACCGTCAATCAGATAGTCAAGGTTATATATACACTTGCAAACTTCTTGTACTTTCTGTCACAACTTCTCTCAGTCCTACTTCCATCACAAACATACTCGCTTCCTATTACACAGTTCTTCACAATAAAACACGATAACAACCTTACTAAATTAAAAATGAACCACACATAAAGCAAATGCACTTTTAAATGTATTAAACACATTGTACTCCTTTGGCAATAATTACAGATTCTTTCTAAATACTTTAACCATTACTGTTTTACATTTTAACATGGATTTCAATGTGGTTAATATCTATTTATAACAGTTTTAACCGGTTACAAAAAAATCAGTTGATTCCCAAACCATAAAGTAATGCTTATCTGTGCCCAGGAAGCACTGTTGCTGTCTGAAGCTCAGTAAGGCCAAACACAGTCAAGTCAGGAACTTGTGCATAAAACGCGAAGTGTTATGCACAAAGATAAAACTTTTAGATATTTTGTTTTACATTTCAGTTCATAAGTGCACAGTCTGATTTACAGGTACAAAATATTTATGACCTGAATTTGAACCCATATGAAGAAAAAAAAAATCACACAACGTATTAGTTTTTCCAAAAATATATAAACTGAATTTTAAAAACTTACATTTTCTAATTGTGAATTGTGTATAATACACATGAAAATGAAATACAATTATTAGCAAATCTCAAATCAATATTTTATTCACAATATAACATTGAAAGTTATCAAATGTTATATGTATATATGTTAATATTTCATGAAACATGTTTCTTTTTTGGGTGGTTGGTTTTTGGGTGTCACTGTATGGGTAAACTGTTGTGAGGCATGACTCATGGGTGGGTATTACGCAGTACATGTGGGTGCACTCACCTGTTCACCTCGCCTGGTGTTTGATGAGGAAAAGGATAGGGTGAGCATGGGGTGAAACCTTCTGCTGACTGCAGTTTGATTCAGTGGGTTGATGTCGCAATTTGGTGTGATAATTGGTGCAGCATTCTGTTGGTTTGTAGTTTGGTATGTTTGTGGAGTCTGTGCATTTGTGTGTTTTGTATCCCATGTACTGATTCATGGTTTGGACAGTGTAATGGTTAAATTAATAGAACAAACTCAGAATGGCATTTGATGTGTTTATTGGTGTGTTGTTTAGCCATTGGTTATGGAGTAGCTAAGCAATAGCTTATGTTGAAGTTGATAGCAGCTATAATTCTCAATTCCCGTGGTTGGAAAAACAAGTGATTAGTTTAGATTAAGAATTAAAAGATCTCATCCAGGCAGTTTCTCTGATGTGAAGATGGGCAGAGGTTCTGCAAAACCGCAGAACAAGATTTAGTCCCTCAATATAAAAATCATATTTCTTAATGTCTTCAAGGCATTAACTTCTTTCTCTTTTTCTGCAGTATTATCAGTGGTTTTGGTGGGGCTTTGTTTGTCTACCTAAACCGACGGATTGCCCTGTTCATCAAGAAACAGAAGCTCTTCAACACATTCCTCATGAAAAAGTAAGTTGGGATTTTTTTAATATGAGGCAGTGAATGCAAAGCATTGTTGCAAATTTATGACAAGCATGTTAACTTGTCAGGAAAACTGATGCGGCCCATCTGCTTCAGTCTGCAGTCAACATGTTGTGCATTCAGACATGTTTTTCTGTAGACCTTTCTCTTTTTCATACCATTCTCTTTGAACCCCACAGATGTTTGTGTGGTTTAGTTCTATTACGTCAGCAGTTTCTGAAACACTCAGACTATTCCAGTCAAATTTTTTTAAGGAATTAAAAAATAAATAAATTCAGTATTCATTTACCGTAATTGTCGGGCTATAAGCCGCTACTTTTTGCACAAGCTTTGAACCCTGCGGCTTTTAGTCAGGTGCGGCTTTTCTATGGATTGTCTATGATTTTTGTGATATCGTAAGACGATTTGTTTTGTTTGTTCCGCTGTTGTACGGCACTACATTGCCTGGCGGAAGGATCGCGGTTCAAGAGTGGTATGTTGGTCACATGTCCGTCCGCCAGGCAACGTAGTGCCGTACGAAGTAGCGCGAAAAACAAACTTCAAAGTAGCGCGACGCGTTCAGCGGGAGGCGTGGATACTAATGTGCCACAAACAGGACTTTAATATCACCAACCATTCCCATGTTATTACGGTGTATCCATATAAATGGCCCACCCTGTACTTTTCAACTTCTTCTGTGTAAATGTCAGCTTTCAACAGTTCTGCACTTTTGTTTTCAGGTGAAAAATTCTGTATTTTCCAGCTCATTTAACATTTTTAACTTAACATTCAGCTATCAGCATCCACACTTCCATTTGATAAGAAAATGCATTTTATAGTTTCACTTGTAATTTACTCTTAATTTAACTACGTAACTCTAGAAGCCTGCACAGCACAGTCAGACATAATAAAAGGGACCCAACGTTGAAGCATAGGCTGAGACTTTAGGAAAGCATTTCCTGAAGCCTCCTAATGTTAGCCCACTTTACCCATTCCAAAACTAGTGTTGATGTGTGTTCACCGGGCTATATCCAGGTTTCATCATCATCATCATCATCATCATCGTTTATTTGTATAGCACTTTAAGAACACACCAGGCAGACCAAAGTGCTGAACAACACAGATCAAAACAACAACCAAATTAAAAATACCATAAAATCATTACATACAATAAAATAAATAAGAAGGTGTCAGTTTCCTACAGAGTTAAAAGCCAGGGAATAAAAATAGGTTTTCAATCTGGACTTAAAGACCTGGGCCCTATTTCAGGAAGCCGGTTTAGAGCAAAATCTGAGTAAGTATACCCTGAGTTAACGAAAACTCTGGGTTTTCGGTTTCACAAAGCGAGTTTAGATTAATTCTGAGCGAGTTACTATGACGACACACTCCGTGAAGCTAACCTGCCCCCTAGCAGGTTTACTTCAACTAACCCTGACCTTCTCCGCCTCTTTGTCAGAAACCTGACTGTAGGAAGTGTCAGACATGGCGTGCCCCTTCCTTGAAGAGCCAGTAGATGTTGAAGCCCAAATTCTCCGCAGAGCTCTCCGCCGGGAGAGAGTGATTAGAGCGCGTTTGGACATTTTATCATTTCCTGATGATTTCCTGTGTGAACGTTACCGTTTTTCAGCACAATCTATAATTTATTTGAATAACATCCTCAGGCCTAATATTGCTCATGTGACACATCGCGGACATTCTCTGAGTTCTGTACATATTATTTGTATCGCACTTCGGTTTTTTGCAAACGGGAGCTTTCTGTATAATATTGGTGACGCTGAGCACGTTTCCAAGGCTACCGTCTGTCGGGCAGTCAGGAATGTTACAGTTGCACTGAAACGTCTCCTGTACTCGTTTGTGGTGTTCCCCGGTCATAGACCCACAAGATTTATCAAAGAGGGATGCCACAAAATTGCAGGTAGCAGGATGAACGAAATTTAATTCATGATGTGGTGATATTTGAACTACTACTTAAATTTTACATTTATTCTCACGGTTCCCAGGCGTGATTGGCTGTATAGATGGCACTCACATTCCAATCATTGCTCCTTCAGTAAATGAAGGAGACTATGTGAACAGGAAGTCTTTCCACAGCATTAATGTGCAGGTACATAGTTCCCTGTAGCATTTCAAACTAACAAATTATTTCATTATAGTAATGGATGCTAATTTGTGTTCTCTGCACTGTGAAGATCATATGTGATGCTGCCAACATTATCACAAATGTGGAAGCCAACTGCTCAGCCTCTGTGAGTGGTGGTGGTGGACGACCTCCACCTGTTTTTCAGGCCTCCGCTTTTTTTCTGTTGGCTATAACGGGTCACATTTGAGCATACAGAGTAAGCAAATATGTACTTGTAATGTGCTCAGATAATTTCAATAAGTGCTTACAGAGGGGAAATTAATGTAGCCTCTAACTGCAATTGATTTACATCGGACAAACAGACCAAGCACTATGGCTCATAATACAATTACACCTTACCTGTTTGGACTATATTTTTATATTTCATTTTTACTTGCTGCCAGGAACGTTTGGGGCCTGTTGGGTTGCACCTGCGCTCACATCACATCACAAAATCAAATGTATGAAATAAAAAATAAAATAAAATATAATAAAATAACGTGTTAAATGGGTGGAAATCCCTAGATCAATGTTTAAATTAACACTCATGCATTGACTCTGTCGGCCATGTTTTGCCATGCATGCTCCCTTTCTTTTGCAGCTGAGGCTGTGTTACTTTTTTTCCGCAAAATTTGCATGTTATCGCCCACCCCCGTGACATCACGCTCCAAAGCCCTATACTGCCATCAGAATTTCGGCCTCAAGCGCTGTAAAATACATTGACCGCGCCTTCTTTCCCTCCGTCTCCATGGTGACTCGCTTAATCTGTACTCCACTAATCAGGGCTTTATGTATCCTCGTGCGCGCGCTTAACTTGGGGTTAAAGCAACTCCACGTTGATTGAACTAATTGTTATCAGCCTTTCTGAAACCGAATATTCCGAGTTGGACAGTTCGGGGTTACTCAACCCTGAGTATCGTTTTTCACTCTGAGTTTTCTAAACCGGCTTCCTGAAATAGGGCCCTGCACTGATGACGCTTGTCTAATTTGGAGGGGAAGGTTATTCCAGAGCATCGGAGCCGCAATTGAAAAGGCTCGGTCTCCTCTGCATTTCAGCCGCGACTTAGGGACCGACAGCAGCAGCTGCTCAGCTGAACGGAGCGAGCGGGGAGGAACATGTGGCTTCAGCAAATCAGATAAATAGACAGGAGCCAGACCATTTAAAGATTTAAAAGCCAATAAAAGGACTTTAAAACGAACCCTAAATTCAATAGGAAGCCAATGCAAGGAAGCCAGAACCGGAGTGATGTGATCGAATTTCCTACTACCGGTTAAAAATCGCGCCGCCGCATTTTGAACTAACTGCAGGCGTGACAAGGTGCCCGACCCGACCCCTATTAAAAGGGAATTACAATAGTCCAGACGTGAGGTGATAAAAGCATGAATAAGAGTTTCCAAATTGGGTTTGGAAAGGAAAGGCTTGACCTTCGACAGGCGTCTGAGGTGATAAAAAGCTGATTTCACCACCCCACTTACATGACCTTCAAAAGTAAGCGCAGAATCAAGTTTAACACCAAAATTAGTGATTGAAATTTTCAGATGAGAGGTCAAATCATCAAAATCAACATCTGGAGAATCAGTAGAACGATGCGGGCCATATAAAATTACTTCCGTTTTGCGACCATTAAAATTCAAAAAATTATTTGCCATCCATAATTTAATATCGCTAAGACAGTCAAGCAGTGATTGACATGGGGAGGTATCCAAATGACTAAAAGGTAAGTAAAGCTGACAGTCATCGGCATACAAATGAAATGACACTCCGTGTTTACGAAAAATCGCACCAAGGGGGAGTAAATACAGCGAGAAAAGTAATGGCCCAAGGATAGATCCCTGGGGCACACCCCAAAGCAGAGGGGCCACAGAGGAAGCGGCCAGCCCCAGCTTGACAAAAACTCCTTTCGGAAAGATATGATTTTATCCATGACAATGCCAGATCACAAATTCCCACACAGTGATGTAAGCGGGAGATCAGCAGGTCGTGGTCCACTGTGTCAAATGCAGCTGTCATATCCAATAACACAAGCACAGCATATTTACCACGATCAGTAGCAACAAGAATGTCATTCATAACTTCATACATCTGGCTATTGATTTCAAGAAGTTCAAGAATATGGAGGTAGTCCTCCTCCTTCATTATTCCACTCACTTTGTATAATGTACCAGTACCACTGGCAGCAAAACTACTGTACAGAGCCCCTCTGATGACATGGTCCAAAAAATAAATATCTTGTGGCCGCAAAATACTACTTCGTGGGCACGAAATGGGTATAACATGCCCACGAAATACTTATTTGTGGCCACGAAACACGTGACTGATAACCGTGATCCTTCCCAGGCCCTTGCAGTTGGTTGACAATAAAATCTATGTAAAGCAACTGGGCCTTCAATATCCTGTTTAAATGTCTCTCCATAATAATGGTTCCTTGCATTGCCAGGCTTTTCAAAATGCATTTGTAGCTCATCCCCAGCCTAAAATAAAACTCAATCATACTGTCTCTGTCCACAGTGCATAGGTTTAGCCTACTCTTATGCTTATGTCTCTACGCAGCTGTCCAGGAATTGTATCAATATGATGTGCGCACGTTATCTATTTCGTTGCCACAAATGCGTAATTCGTTGCCACGTTATACCCAATTCATGCCCACAAATTAGCATTTCGTGCGCACGTTATGCCTATAATACTACTACTAAATACCTATAATACTACTTCGTGCCCTCGAAATAGTATTGCGTGGCCACAAATAAGTATTTCGCAGGCACGTTATACTATTTCGAGGGCATAAAGTAGTATTTTGTGGCCACAATTTATTTACTTTTTGGACCATGTCATCAGAGGGGCTCCGTACAAAACAGACCCAGGGCATGTTTGACAGTTGGTGCAGTTCACATTAACTCCTTCAAACATACCGCTCGTCATTATAGCCAGCCAGTTCGATGTTTGGTCATCAGAAATTAATACTTTTCTCCATAAGGCTTTTGGCTTGTCCATGTGGTCAAGCTATAGATTTCAGTTAAGCTACCAAGAGTCTAGTCAAAGTTCAACTGTTAAAACACATTCGACCAAATATTAATAGGGGCATATGTATATTTGTGTCTCTGCATACTTTCGATCCTATGTGTATTAGAGAAAACCCCAAACACATTCAAACCTGTGCACAAAATTCCAGTTTCTTATATTCATTTAAAAGGAATAAATGACAAATCATAGATTGACAGAATGATATGGTAAAGCTCTAAACTCCACATGCATAAATACATTGAGCTGCTGACATGTGATTGGATAATTTGAGATTTGCCTTAAAAATAATTTTCATAGGTATACCCAGCAAGGTGGCCTGTAAGTGTATTATTTTAAGTTAAACAAACTTGAGTAAATAAAGGAAAAAATGTACCTATAAAAATAAATATAATATAGTGATTGGCTTCACGTTGCTTTTTCACCCATGCGTGAATAACTATGGTTTTCTCAGTAACTGTTAGACATGCATTATTCCCTGTTTATTGTTTTATGTTATTGTTTTAAAGCATTTCATTGTTTTACCCTTGCTTACTTGTTCTTTCTGTTATATATCTATGTTCTTAGATGTCTTGTGTATCCAGTGATGGTCTCTTTCCTCATTTCGTCACTATTGTTTCCTTCTGGTTTTGGACAGTTTATGGCTGGAGAGGTAGGTTCACAAAGCCCATGAACCATATATTATTTTTATTACATATACTCATCACTCTACAGTTATTACAGTAGACATCAAAGAATTCTTTAAAAAAATATGCAGGGCTTTTTCTCTTTATTCTAATTAAGCTAATTTTGAAATGTATCTAAAGATGGTTTACATATCATACATGTTGTATGGTTTGAAAACAGTCTTTATCCATCTTAAATCATTTAATTATTGATATACCAAATTATTGATATATCAATAAGACTTAAAATTCAGCCCGTTCTTGTTAAATTGAAGTCATTCATTATATAATAAAATACATCATCAACTAACTCAAAAAAATGAAAAAATTTTCTGTGGATTACACATCATGGAAATGCTAATGTTAAATAAAAGGATAATATTGAAACCATTAGAAATTATCTTCTAGGGTTTCAAGCCAAACACTGAATTTTGAATGAAATATGTCTGTGAAGGTTCTCAGTCATCCAGGTCATCGTAGTCAAAGGAGCTTGCAAAGAAAAGCGTCTGGACTTCTTTAAGTTGCTTGAAGACGTTTCACCTCTCATCCAAGAAGCTTCTTCAGTTCTAAGGTCAAATGGTGGAGAGTCCCAGATATAAACCTAGTGGGAGTTTCCCCCCACAGAGGGACAAAAGGACCCCCTGATTATCCTCTAATCGCCTGAGCCAAGGTGTGAAACTGGGTGTGGGTCCCAATCAGCCAGAGTTTCGGGTGAGCTCATTGTGAAACCTGGCTCCACCTTATCATGTGATGTCCTGAGGTCAGATGGCCCAGGATGTGAGTGGGCGTTAAGGCGTCTGGGAAGGATCTCAAAACTGGATTATAAATGGCAGAGAGTTGGTGTCGTAAACCCCCCGCCTCTGTTCAAAGATGGTCGCTCACAGTGGACATAGATGGCTTCTTTCACTCCTCTTTCAAACCATCTGTCCTCTCTGTCCAAAATGTGAACGTTGGCATCCTCAAAGAGTGACCTTTATCCTTAAGATGCAGATGGACTGCTGAGTCTTGTCCTGTGGAGGTGGCTCTTCTGTGTTGTGCCATGCGCTTGTGAAGTGGCTGTTTGGTCTCTCCGATGTAGAGGTCTGAGCATTCCTCTACATGGACACCAACTATCTGTCATGTGTTTCTGTTTCTATTATCTGTGAAAGAGCTCCGACTCAGTCACAGTCGTAGTAATTGTATTTTTTTTATTTGTTTAATTTTCCAAATTTTCCAGCTGACACAGAACGAGGCTTTGGTCACATTACTGGACAACCGCACATGGACTAAAGACGGCATCGCTGAAGAGTTTGACTACATTGGAAACGCACGAGTCTGGATGCACCCACAAGTCACCGTCTTCGGCACACTGGCCCTTTTCACCATAATGAGAGTAAGGTGAAAATATGTGTACAAAGCTGTAAGTTTGATTTATGCTAGTAAATGTGTCTGTCTGCAAGTTTTCATAATGTATAAAATGAATTTGTCATTCTATGTAAAGTATGTTAAATTCATGCACAATTCCTGACAGGATTTATTATACATACACGGGGTGCTATCCCCCCTTTTTAATCCAGAGGTCCACATTTACTTACATGTGAATGTGTTATTAATGTCTTTTTAAAAGCTTTCCCATGTTAATTTTATTTGCTGGAAAGAAAATATGTCCCTCTGCTGGTGCTGCAGCTTACTGCGAGTGCAACTAGTGCATGCATGTCCATTTCATGCTTTGGAGAGGCAAAGTGTGAAATGGAAACAGTGGACCACTCTATGTATTACATGCTTTGCTTTGATACTAGGTTGGTCTGAAAGCTGCGTGTGCAGCACACATGCATTTAAAGAACACTGACGGTAGGACATGATTTTCTATCATGGTGTAGGAGTGTCAGGTGCACACTGATATTGGCTCTGTCACACCGATCTTGCTAGTGAGCTGATGTCAATGTTAAACGTATAAGCTGCATTCTTGTCTTTGAATAAGAAACTTTGAATGATTATTTTATGGTTAATGGTTCCAAACATCTTAACATAAGAAGATGATCCAGCTAGGCTATCATTTTGACTCTAAAGGGGTCGGCAACCCTGGGCATGCGTGCCACAGCTGGCACGCAAAGGGTTAAATGATGGCACGGCACACAGTGAATTAATCTGAGAAGGTGCATTAAAAAATAATAATCTATGGACGGGCCACTGGTGCACATCACTAATTAGCTTACATTAGTTGTGCCACTTCCACATTCCAACACTTCAAACGTTCAAGAGCTGTCTGCTCAGCGCAGCATCAGCACCACGAATTCACAATGCAGGTGTTTGGACCAATGCTTTCTTTTCTGATTAAACCAGAAAGCTTTAATGGGCAGCTGGATTTGTCTCGTGCATTTTCACCTGCTGGACATCACTACCTGACAAGTGTAACTGTCTTCAGAGCATTGCACAGGCCTTATTGACAGTGTTTGGCTCCACATATCTGTGTGAGCAGACTTTCTATCACACAAATAATGTTCTCAGCACCTCCCATAGCCGTCTGACTGCCGGACACTTGGAGACCTGTGTCTCTGAGTGGGAGACCATAGACCACAATAACATGTATTAACAAACATGCCTTAGTATTTTTCCTTATCACTTTTGTGAGTAGACCATAAATAGCATTTGTATTTTCTGTCGTACAGTTCCTTTGCTGTTATAGAGTTCTTGTTTTGGATAAAAAGTGTTTTTTTTTTATTTGCTTTTTGTTTAAAACAGCTGATCTGCACTTTGCCAACATCTGCGAACAAATATAGTTCTTTAAAATTATTCTATATAGCGTGGAACTGTTGAGCATGATTGCTAATGCAATGGTTGATATGGCACATTGACTTCTGAGGAAACGTTCTGATAATGAGTAGCATTATCAGAACGGTTGCCGACCCGTGATTTAGACCAAGGGTATTCAACTGAAATTTAAGGATGTCTGGTCAGAGAAAACTTCCTCAGTCAATTTACTATGCAAGCTACAATGCATGTGACCAATTTGTGCATCTCCTGTGTTAGGGCTGGGCGATATATCGAGTTTTTTAAAAATATCGATTTATTTTCATGCGAGATATAAGATGTGACAATATCGTTTATATCGATATAGTCTGTTACGTTATAATTATACTTGTGGAGCCGCAGGTTTGCCTCTTTCGTCCACTTTTGTCTCTACGCTGCGTTGCTCGGCCTCGCCTCTCCTTCACTAAACACAACTCCCCCTCCCCCATAGCTTCACCTGCAGGCAATGACAAGATGAAAGTGGAAAATCTCCGTTAGCGAGTTACCGCGGATCGCCCCGTGCATTGGGCTGGACGGCGTCAACGTGTTAGCGAGCTAACCGCGCTAACGAGCTAACCGCGCTAACGACATGCAGCCCACAGGGGCTGCACGGCCTAAAATCCTTTCATTTTCTCAAAAATCGACAGCGCGCCTTATGTATGAATTCTGGTTGTGCTTACTGACCGCGAACCGATTTTATGTGGAACACAGCGCTCAGCAATCTGTCAAAAAATGTTTTAATATGACTTTGCTAAGCTACGGAGCTGCACCGCTTGATGGATTGTCGGAGGATTACGGCTACCGGGGAGGAGCCTCGCGGAGTGATACGTACTGTGTGTGTATAAGGACCACAAATGGCACCTGTTCAGAGACGTGGTGCAGCTGTGAAATCTGTCTCTTTGTTATTATGCTCAGCGTCTATTAGTTTACATTTTGACTGCATAATTGTGAGCTTTTTGTTATGCACAAAAACAACATTGTTTTCTTTTATTTATGGACCATGATTATTTAATAAATACTGATAATTTATTTTTGAGTAATTTCTTCATGTACATCTACGCTGTATGTAAATAAAAGTGCCCGTGTGACAGCTGGGACACAGTGTGACTAAGAACTCTCTTTTTGTTCTTAACTTATGGCTTTAAAAAAAAATCGAGATATATATCTTATATCGCCATCCAGGTAAATAATATCGAGATATGAATTTTGGGTCATATCGCCCAGCCCTATCCTGTGTGCACACACTGGCTACAATAAGCCTATAGAAAAGAGCTGTGCAAATTAAAATAACCCTACAGTAAATCTAAAAAACTTTGAGCAGAGTAAAACAGAAATGGCGCATTGAAACCAAATAGGTCAAGGTCTGTATAAAGTAGCATCTGGGTTTAGACTGCGGTCTGCCTTGTGGTGAGCTGGAATCTAGAAACACACCAGATAATACCATGCAGCTCCTGGAATGTCACCCTATTCTTTCTGTTGATGTCTTCTTCTTCTTTTAGTTCTGGATGTGTGCCTTGGCCATCACCATGCCAGTGCCCTATGGAGCCTTCATGCCAGTACTTGTCATTGGTAAGATGTGTGTTTTTCTGTGAAGAAGAACAGATGAAACACATTTGAAGGCGTTAACACAAGGCTCAGGGGTGAACAGTCATTTGCCATGACTGTGAGGGGAGAGAAACAGGATAAAGGCACAGTTGAAGACAGCCAGAGATTAATAAATAAAAATTGTAGTTGTATATATACACATAGAATGAAAAGAAATGGGAAAAAGGAAAGACTCCCCCAGCAGGCTAGACCTAAGGCAGCATAACTAAGGAAGGATTCAGGGTCACCAGCCCTAATGATATGCTTTGGCAAAAAGGAAAGTTTGAAGCCTAATCTTGAAAGTAGAGATGACTAACTGAATGCTTATCAGGGAGTTTTTAGGACATCCAGATAATAACGACTGACAGCATTCCAGCCTAGAAGTAACACATCCATGAATTTGTTTTTCAACATCACTCAGACAAAATATTTGTGTAGCATGTTTAAAAAGTGAATAAAGGCAGACCTATATTTTGTTTAACATGTGCATTGAGTCAGATTCCTCACTGTGTTACTGGAAGTTCAAGTAATGTCATGCATGCCTAGCTGTGAGTAATCACCAGTGGACAAAAGAAGTATTCTTGAAGGGTTTAGCTAGTGGTTGTGTGAAGTTGCTTGCTTGCTGTTTTTACGCCAATACTACAGAAAACATTGTGAATGATTTGGTTACTAGCAGATTGCTGGGGTTGACAGTAGTTTGCAGTAATGATAGTCAAGAAGAAATTGACTTTCCTACAAACATTTGCCAACTACCCATCGAGGAGCACTGAAACTGTAGAGTGGTAAGAAACCTCAAAACAGAGACCTTCAATACTCCTTCAACAGGCATCTCCGACAACGTTAGAGCACTTTTGCAAATATGTGATGTCTTGATAAATCGAGCAGATATTTGAAGTTTACACAGCACCATTCTCGCATGAAAATATCTTAAAAGTTTATTTTGTGACCCAGACAGAGTAATCTTTCAAACTCTGCCACTCTGTGTTCCTCCGCCACTGCCTCGTTTGAGTTTTGGGCGAAATGGATTCTGGGATATTGCATTTCGTCATTTCAAGCTGATGGGCAAGCCATAGGCAACCGTGTCTTGGCTGGCCTCACCCTGGGGACCAGCATGGGTACTGGAGCAGACTGAATGGCAATCCCACCCGAGTAGGTGCGGGTGCAGGAGTAGGCTGGCCTCACATTGGAAGACAGGACAAGCACTGGCAACAGCTGGGCGTCAGCTGTCCCCGCCTGAATAACAGAAATGGGTGCAAAAATGTTTTTGAGCTGAGATTATTTCAATGATTTTGGTGTTTGTGAAGCTGACAGCAAAGTAAGTGAAACTAGAAAAATTTGCATTTCCTGCGAAAATGCAGTGTGGATGCTTAAAGCTGAAGCTGTATGCAAAAAGTAGCTGAAAAAGCTGAAAAGTTGCAGAAATTGTAAAAACTTTGCAGAAGCAAAAGAAGTTTGCTAAAATGGAATAACTTAGCAGAACTGCAATATCTTAGAGGAAACATAATACTTGGCAGAAATACAATAGCATAGCAGAATTTAGCAGAAATATTGTAACTTACCAGAAACATGATAACTTCTCAAACATACAAGAATTTAGGAGAAATAGTATAAGATAACAGAAAGAATATATTTAGCCAAAAATACTTAAACATTACAGAAACACTATGATTTAGAAAAATAGTACAACAGAGCAGAAATATTGTGATTTACCAGAGACACTGTGATGAACTATGAATATTGTAATTTTAAATTAAGACTATGTTTTAGCACAAATATTATAATTTGGCAAAAATACTATAATTTAGCAGAAATACTATATTAAGCACAAATCCTATAAAAAGCAGAAATGGTATGATTAAGCATAAATACTACATTTAGTAGAAATACTTTGTTTTAGCACAAATCCCATAAAAAGCAGAAATACTGTACTATGATTTAGTAGAAAGACTATAATTAATCAGAAATACTAAATTTAGCAGAAATACTATATTAAGCACAAATCCTATGAAAAGCAGAAATAGTATGATTAAGCATAAATACTACATTTAGCAGAAATACTATATTAAGCACAAATCTTATAAAAAGCAGAAATACTATATTAAGCACAAATCCTATAAAAGCAGAAATAGTATATTAAGCACAAATCTTATAAAATAGCAGAAATAGTATGATTTAGCACAATAGTAATAAGTTAAACAGAAAAATTGGAAAAGCAAAATGGACAGCTGAAAAAATGCTGAACATGCTGAGGGTCCCTCAAATATACTTGTTAAATGACAAAAATCTGCAAAAAAATTTATGAAAGCCACAAAATTACAAATATGTACACATGAGGAAACACACATGCAGAGAGAGAGACACACACAAGATCCAATTCAGTCAACCAGTCTAAATATATTGAATTTGAATCTTACAATGAGATCATCCCATTAAAAGGCTTTCTCTCTCTCTCTCTCTCTCTCTCTCTCTCTCTCTCTCCCTCTCTCTCTGTCACACACACACACACACACACACACACACACAAACACACAGAGGGAGAGAGCTGCTGAATTTGAATCCACCAATCAGAGTGGCTGTGTACTTTTTCCCGCCAAAACAGGTGCTTCTGTTTACACACGCAGCACAGAGAGACACAGGATTATTGCAGTCTATTTCTCATAGTGACGACTCCCCTCAAACAAATGACCATATTTCCTAACTGTAGGGGCTAGAAAGGTCATTCTTACACCGTTTTGTTCAGACGTGATTGGGGAATCTTCAAGTGTTGACAATTTATCATTAAAATATGAATTTTTAGAGATATGTGACATGGATGACTTATTGACTTAGAAGCCACGAATTCCCCAATATGCAAATTTGAATGGCTGAGGCCACATATATGATTGGCTGGCTGGGAAGCCGTGCAGGCCCTGATTTGTGGATTTGATTTCCTCAGCCCTGATATGATTGGCTGGCTTAGAAGCCATGAAGGCCCCAATATGCAAATTTGAATGCCTCAGGACACATATATGATTGGCTGGGAAGCCGTGCAGGCCCAGATTTGAAAATTTGAATGTCTCAGTCCTCACAGAGGATTGGCTGCCTGGGGACCTGGCAGAAATATATAGAAATACTATGATTAAGCATAAATACTACATTTAGTAGAAATACTATGTTTTAGCACAAATCCTATAAAAAGCAGAAATACTATAATTTAGCAGAAATGCTATATTAAGCACAAATCCTATAAAAAGCAGAAATACTATATTAGGCACAAATCCTATAAAAAGCAGAAATACTATATTAGGCACAAATCTTATGAAAAGCAGAAATAGTATGATTTAGCAGAAATACTGTATTTAGCACAAGTACCGAAAAGTACCAGAAATACTATGATTTAGCAGAATAGTAATAACTTACAAAATTACAAATATGGAGGCATATTGAAACACAAATGCACAGAGGGACACACAAACACAGGCTCTAATCCAATCAACCAGTCTAACTATATTCAATTTAAATCCTACAATGACATTCTGCCAAATAAGGGCAGGGTCCTCTCTCTCCCACTAAACACACACACACACACACACACACACACACACACACACACACACAGAGGGAGAGAGCTGCCGAATTTAAATCCACCAATCAGAGTGGCTGTTTACGTTTTCCTGCCAAAACAGGTGCATCTTTTTACACACGCAGCACAGAGAGGCACAGGATTATTGCAGTCTATTTCTCATAGTGACGACTCCCCTCAAACAAATGACCATAATTTCCTAACCGTAGGGGCTAGAGCGGTCATTCTTACACCGTTTTGTTCAGAAGTGATTGGGGAATCTTCAAGTGTTGACAATTTATCATTAAAATATGAATTTTTAGAGATATATGACATGGATGACTTATTGACTTAGAAGCCACGAATTCCCCAATATGCAAATTTGAATGGCTGAGGCCACATATATGATTGGCTGGCTGGGAAGCCGTGCAGGCCCTGATTTGTGGATTTGAATTCCTCAGCCCTGATATGATTGGCTGGCTTAGAAGCCATGAAGGCCCCAATATGCAAATTTGAATGCCTCAGGACACATATATGATTGGCTGGGAAGCCGTGCAGGCCCTGATTTGAAAATTTGAATGTCTCAGTCCTCACAGAGGATTGGCTATCTGGGGACCTGGGGCCTGTTCTTCGTACGTCGCTTACTACATCCAAGATCAAATGACACATCCAAGACCAAACTATCGCGCTAACCGTGAGCTCGCTAATCCGGTTCCCCGAACACACCTGCTGTTGACGATTAGTACAGCTGGACGCAGTAATGTGACATCACTGGGTGTCGTAAAAGGGGCTACGCATCGATAGTAGAAACATTGATCGGCAACCCGCTGATTGGTCGGCGAAAATGTCGAAGGGGCGTGCACGGTATTTTCCGGCAGCAGAGCAAGAACTCTTGATTGAGGGATTTCAGGAGTTTCAGAGTTTAATTAAAACGCAAGAGAACACTGCAAAGGCTGCAAAAGCAAGGAGAGAGGGGCTGGCAGAAAGTTGCTGACAAATCAAACTCGTAGGTAATTTAATAATAATAATAATAATGGATTGGGTTTATATAGCGCTTTCCAAGGCACCCAAAGCGCTGTACGATACCACTATTCATTCACTCCCACATTCACACACTGGTGGAGGCAGCTACGGTTTTAGCCAGGCTGCCATATCGCGCCATCGGCCCCTCTGGCCAACACCAGTTGGTAGGGTAGATCTATCATATGACACTATATTGTCCAATATCATATGGCATTATATTATATTATAATATGTTATATTATATCCCCTTTCACATTAGAGCCACAACAGGACCCACAAGAACATGGGAACAAGTAAAAGTGGAATACAGGAGTATTCTACAGAATGGTAATATTTATCTCTTAGATTGCTTTTCGTCTCTTGGCAAGGTAATACTGGCCTGTAATATTCTGTTAGTTTGTTCATAACAGCAACCAAGAAA